GGAGGCCCAATAGTCAAGCGCAAAATTGACACCTTCTGAGACACCTTCTCTTCCCCACCACTCACCAAAAAGAATGAAATGAATGAATCTCTGGGGTTTTATTCCATCATCAAAGGTTTCTCTGTGCACCAAAATGAAGCATGTCATTTCTGTGCTTGGGTGAAAAGCAAAAAAGAAGGAAAGGCTGGTTTCACATCAAGGTGGTGCTTTTGGTATTGTCTACCAAATAGCTCAGAACTTCACCAAGGGCTCTTGCTCCTTCTGTCCTCTCTGCCTGAGGGGATTTGAGCTGTTCAGAAAAAGGCACAAATTCTGCATATTTTGGGACACAAAAGGAACTCTTCCTAATCTCACCTTGTAGAAATAACCATACAGCAGCAAGAACTGGGACCCTCAAGTCCCATTTGCTGTCATCTCCATAAGGAGTTGGTTAGCCTTAATTGCTCTAATTAGCCCTTTTGATCTCTGGATGAAAAGACTAGGAACTAGGATGGACACTTTCTGTGCCAAAAATGGTCATTTTTAGGGAAGTTACTGTTTGGCCAAGAAGCATAATTTCTCTAGATCACTTCTGTACCCCTGTCTGGCAGGCACACTGAGAACAGCAGAGCAGTGGGACCAGAGAAGGACAAGGAAAATGGAACATTTGATTTCCTGTATCGCACCTACTGCAGCTAGTGGTCCTAGAGAGACTGGGAAAGACAGGATCTTTTTCTCCCGAATGGGAGGGGAGGACAGTTTCTAGCAAAAGCCAAAAATAGACATTCACCACTAAAAAAAAAAAAAAAAAAAAAATTTAAAGAGTCAGAACTTCATGCCCAGCACTGCAGAGTTGTGTCTTCTCCCGTGGCTCCCCTTTAAGTCCTCCCAAGGCCGTGCAGCTGCCCTGTGGGGACACCTCGTGGCTCAAGTGGCACCTTTGGTTTGCCTTAAGGGATCACCTCTTCATAGCACCACGGCCCGTGCAAAGTATTCTAGCTGCCAGTGTGACAGCCGGGAGGAGAGATACGAAGTCAAATGTGGGGGAAAGAAGTACAGGGGACAAGTGTAGACCAACTCTTCTAGTGATTTCTTTAGCACCTAGTGAAATTGTAAGTGTCTGAGTTTGAACCCCCCACCCTTTCAGATGCCCTTGACCAGCAGTGCCTGGCTGCTGCCTTCTCCTGCTGGCCAGTGCAGGTGAGTCCATGAACAGCAACCCAGCTCCACAAAGGGCAGGGAATGGAGGCACTGGGGAGGTCTTGCCAGGAGTTCACTCATGGGGATGTGGTCTGGGATGGCTGAGATCAAACATTTTACCAGATTTCACTGTTACCAGCCTGGACACTAACAAGAAACTTAATGTACCCCATGTCTAGTTTCACAGTGATGCAGCCAGACAGGAGTATAGCATACAAGGAGTTTGTATTAATTGTTTCTCTGTGCAACATGCAGAGAAATGCCAGGCACCTGCCAAGAAAAGCCAACTTCATCTCCTGTGGCTTTGCAGAGAGAAATGGGAATGCCTGGTAACCATGTCTGACTCCTCCCTTCTCCGGGTATTTACATTTAGTGGCATCAACAAGCCCTAAACACACAGAGGTGGCCTCTGGCTCATCTCCTTCACCTCTCCTCAGGAAGGCAGAGCTCCAGGTTCTCAGAAGAGGCAGATGTTTATCATGCCCTGCCCTGCACCAGCACCAGACCACACCAAAGAGAAGCTGCCAAACGCCGTTGGGTTTTCTCATGATGGTATTTCATAATGAGGAGGATTTGTGCTTTTCTCTTGAAAGCCCACAAAAGTAGCACAGCCATCTTCACCTGGATTTATCTTCTCCAGTTAGGAGAAGTTAATGGGTCTGGATTACTTGTCTTGTGGTCTACTTGCTGATGAAGAGATGCCTGTGTTTCCTGTTCCATTTGCCTCTCAGGCACCATCCCACCTGGCCATTCCACCTTTTCCAAAGCACTTACAAAGGGGACTGACCATGCCCTAGAAAGCATCCTCCAGCCAGGGCTTTCAACTTCTTTTGCAAATATCTGCTACGAGAAGCTGAAGGACAAAGACAAATCATCTGGCTGCTGTGGGCTCCTGCACAGCCAACAGCAGAACTTGTTTCCTGAATTTATAACTTGATCTCAAGTGCTGTTTTTACTGGGGAATGGAAGAGAGGGACATCTTTCAAGCAATGGTAGTGCCAAATGCATCCAAAGGTTATTCTCCTTGTCCTGGAGAAGCCACCTTGATGTAGACATCTCAAAGGCATGGAGACAGGTGTCCACACTGGTGAGAATGTGGGTATTTTGTCAAAACCTTCCCTCTCCTGTCCAAGAGTTTCCTGGGCCCCCAGCCCCTTGCAGAAGGGGATTTGTTTGCTTTCTCATGGACAGGTATTTATTCTCCAGGGTTACCGGTTGAGGAGTAAAAAGTTTTCAAAGTCTGACTCCCTCTCTACTAGCTCCATCTGGAGGCTCCAAGAAAACTTGCACTGTAAAACTACTTTTATTTGTATTTATTAATTTTATAATTTATTTAGGATTTAAGGTGGTCTTGGCATTTATGATTATGGTTAGCAGACTTGAAAAAAAGAAAGCATCTGTGCAATTAAGTTTTTAGTTAGAAATTAATTAAAGACTCTGTAAAATCAAAACAATGGGCTTATTTCTGGCTAAGCTGAAGACTGCATCTCTATCTGTTCACTCCTCTCTTTACCTGCAGTTACAGAGTTTTATTTTAAGCAGCTGACTGCTCAGCCTCTGTTCTAATTCAGCTGCATTTTTATGCTGCTATGCAAAGCTGCCACTTAAGAGCTGCTGGAATATTGTTTTTTTTTTTTTTTTAATAAAATGTGGTACTTAAAATATCTGCTGTTTTAGCTGCAAATAGTTACATTTATGTAACTTCCCCTTTTATTACTACTGCGGTATAGCTATCCTCTAGGATTTGCTACCTGGAATTCAAAATGTGTCTATAGATGTAAAAAAGACCCTAAACTACAGGAAATGGGGGTTGGGAGGCTGGGGAGTGGGAGGAATAAAAAAAGGAAATCATTCTAATAAGCACATTCAGGACATCTTTCCTCTGGTTTGTAAATCCAGTGCTCTGAAAGCACTTGCCAGAGAAGTTCTCCAGCCTTCCCTGGAAGAAAGTGAGATTCAAACCTATTGATTGGAGATGATGTGATGCCTTATAACTCTGCCCAGGGGTGAAGCTCTGTGGTACCACCAGTATAATATTAAGATTCACTTGTTGGATCTGGGGTTTACAACTTCACCTGAGTTACTGTAAGAAATAGTAGGAACAGCTGTACTGGGAGAAGAATGATGATGCAAGACAAACTTGGAATCAGTTTTTTGTTCATTTGGGGAAAAGTTTTACTTCTTCTCCCTGTCAAAAGAATTCTTGCTGGGAATTAAAGGCTGTCAAGAAAGCTCAAAGAGATCAGATCAGCAGCCTGCCTTGTGCAGTTTCAGGAGCATGAAGGCAGGATTTGGGATGCAGGGATTTGGTATTCCACGACAAGGCATGCCAGGCTGAACACTTTCCAGCCTTCCCTGGGAGCCTTTCTGCTGACATACAGACTCAGTGAGGAGCTCTAATGTTCTCAGCTGCTCCATCTAGAAACCTTCCAGAAGTGGATCTGACAATTTCAGCCCTAATTTCCCCGAGGATTTGTTTCTCAAAGAATGCTTGTATGTACTCACTCAGGAGTTGCTGATTGAAGTCCTGGCTTCTGTTCTCTTGGAGAAGTAGTCAGCAAGTAATGAATGGATGTGAAATCCTTTCCTGCACAGGAAAGTCTTCATATCCTGGAAATACCTCATCAGTAACTGGGGAGTAACTTCCAATAGAAAGAATATCCACCACGTGGTAGTTTGTAAGTAGGAGGATAGCAAAGCATTTGGACAATGAGCAGGTGAGAGATTTCCCGTTCAACGGCTCATGGAAGTGCAGAGGGAACACAAACAGTGCTTAAAACTCAGCGTGAGGAGGTAAATGTCAGTGCAACTGTTAACTTTAGTGTATCAGGGGAGAGAGATACTCTATCAAGTGAAGAGCTTCCGTGGAAGTGTTCTGATACATTGTTAGAAGGATTAATTTACAAGAAATTAGTTGTCTTCGGCAGAAGGCTACTGTAAAACAGACATCAAAAAGCCCTGAAGAGACAGATCTTCCAGATTTTCTTTCCTAAAACTAATTCCCTGTGTGGTGATGCTACAGTAGGTATGGCACAAAGCACACTAGCAGCATTTATCATCCTTTATTTATATTTATCAGGCATAGATGTGCACTTTTTCGTTTACTTAGCCTTTTTATACCAAGTAACGTTGTGCACTGGAGCCATCTCCTGTAGCATTCACTGCAAAAACACCTTATATAAAATAAATTGTAGCATAGTAATTATTGCAATGAATTCCTTTGATCCCTGAGCTCATGTTGAAATGAGATTTTACTGACTTTGCATGGAACTGCCAGAAGGCAGTCAACACACTGGCAGCTTTTCTTCCCTCCCTAATTTCTGCAGAAGTGCCCAAACTGTCATGACAAGACAGGTGTATGAAACTTTCTCCTGAAAACTAAACTCTAAGGGGCTCAGAGGAATGAGAACAGTGAAGAAAAATACAACAGTGTACACTTCCTGTCTATTTTAAGACTGCAGAAATGCAAAAATGCTTGCAACAGCTGCTTCATAAGCATTCACAGTGTTCACTCACTGTGGCCTCTGCTGCAGCACATTCCCGTTTTCTGAAATGCTTCTCTCCCCTTACACCTCTACATATAATAAGTCTCTGATGCATCATTGTCACTGAACTTAATAGGTACAGCAATATTCTGGGAGCAGACTTATTTTTCTGGATAAGCTTACTTATTTATATTCTGGCTGGTAAATCTCCAAAGAAAACCATTCAATTTGCTTATAATTCAGGTTAACCTTTCCCTTTCTTGTCAAAAATGTTTTGTTTTTCAAACCCACATTAAATGAAAACAGACCAAAAAGCAAAAATGAGATGACTCCAGGTATGACAGACCAAGATTTACTTTAGTACAAGGCAGAAACTTCTAATAGAACAGGAGAGACACCAACTCAGGCAAAGGGAAATGTTAGTCATTGCAAAAGCTAGTAATGCTTAAAGCTTAAACTAGTTTCCCTCAGTTTCCTAAAATAGGCTTTTAAGTTTTTTTTTATCTTGTACTATCAAATTGTGTTAGTTACATAACTAAAACATGCAAATAAAGTGCAACAGACTACTCTTAGTCAGTATCTGATTGAACAACTTTTAATATTTCTATTGACAAATATTGTAAGCATAACCAGAGTGAAACGTATTTACTAGAAGTCTGTGCAGTGACAGACCTGGGTCACTGAACTATCAGTGTAAAGAGAATTACTGACATTCTAATTTCATTTTCAGTTGATACAGAGGCTGCTGAAGTGATCACAGACGTGTTCCAGTAGTGCCAAATTCTAATCAAAACTCAGATTGTGCGTTAGTAGTCAAGGCCGAGGCAAACAATTATCCTGTACCATACACAGAAAGCAACTAGTATTGAATGGACAAAAACTTTGGTCAACAAACTAGTTTTACTTCTTTAATAATATTTTGCTAACAACTCAAGAGGCACAACAGTACCAGTAAGCATATGAACTTTAAAATGCACAATGGCCACAGACAGTTGACTTGGATACAGTATTGGTGCTTGGTAGCAGACCTACAGACGGCTTTTCGATTCTTCCACTCTTAAATGATTTTGTATTTCCTCCTGACCTAGTCATGCACTGGAGAGGAATTCCACAGCAGTCTCCTTCTCTTCAGCTAACTCCTTAGCAGTAATTTCCATCTTCTCACGAGAAAAATCATTAATAGGAAGACCCTCAACAAACTTCCAGGTCTTGTCCTGATGGAAAGCAAACAAACAGAAAGCCCTCCATGTAAGAACAGGCTTCATTCAGTCTGCATGAAAGAAACTTTTTGGCATAAAAACACAGTTTATGGTCCTAAGAACCACATCAGGCAGAAGTTAATTTTATTTCAGATAAACAATGCAACCAGCACCAGCTAGCCATGTCAGATTGTACTTGTCTAACCACCAGCACTTAACTGACAATCAAGTTAACTTGGTTAATAAGAGTCCTCTCCATGAAAGGGAGACTGCTAAACCCCCATATCCCAGCAACTGCAGTCCCACACTGCTGTTAATAGGCTCATATGACAGTTTAATAAGTTGTGCAGAAGATATATGGATTTAAATACAGCCTAGTTACCTTGATCACAACTGGGAATGAATACAGCAGGTCTTCAGGAACACCATAAGAATTGCCATCAGAAATGACTCCCATCGAAACAAACTCCCCCTGAAACCAGAAAGGCAGAGATAAATACATTTTTCACTGCTAGAAGCAGGCAAAATTTCCATGATTTATGATATCCTTTATCTCCTATGGCACAATTTACTCCAGAAAAAGACAGATTCTTTCCTCTGAACACACATACACTCGAGGTCAGTGAGGGGCACAGAATGAAAGCACGAGGCAAACATGCACTTTAACAGCCACATCTTACCGCTGGAGTGCCAAACCAGATGTCCCTCACATGATCACAGATAGCTTTGGCAGCTGACATGGCACTGGACAGCTTCCTGGCCTTAATAACAGCTGCTCCACGTTGCTGAACAGTCTGCAATTAAGAAAAAAACCCAACCATAACTAAATTGTAAAGCAGAAAAACCATGGCTTGGTCTACATGCTCTTAGTAAGTGCCATCAAGAAAGACTGTTGTATGTAATTATTTAATTTTATCAGTGAAGATACAGTTCTTTCACTAACAAACATGGCATACAATCCAGAAATACTATCTAGAAGAGTTGTGCCGACACAAATGTTTCAGAGGCTCATTCCTTAACTTTACAGCTGGCTGACTACTCTCATACCAACCAGATGCCTCAAGCTTTTCCCACCAGGAGACTTTGTGCATGTCAGCAGTGGCAGATGTCTCAAGCAACACATTGTTGATTGAGGTCTTCTGCTGAATACCAATTTGAAACACTTGCTGGTCTCAATCCCACAATACTTAATGCATACAATTTATTTAATTCCTGAAGATAGTTGAACCTACCTCACCATACTCAAGTTAATAGTTTTAAAATTTAATAGTTTTGCTAAAGCTTTAATCATCTAGGGCTTCAGTAACCCATTTCCCTTCACATTCCACTTAGATAGCCTGTGCTCTTGATCAATTAATACCATTACTTTGTTTTACTAACTTACATTATTATTTATTACTACTCTACTTTGCAAGCATTTCCTAGATTTTTCAGATTCCTTTTCAGAAACTGTTCTGATGATGCCACACACTTTGTGTGTGTGTCTCTGTGTGTGTATGTGTGTGTGTGTCTGTGCCCATGCATGAGCAGGGAAAGATTTGCTGGCCGTTTCTGGTGGGTGGGGAGCAGCAAATGGATCAATCCCACTTTATCTACAAAACTGCCCCAAAAAGTCACCATAGTGAAATGGCAATGGTGCTCCTGTGTCACACAAGTTTCCCAAGAGTTGTGATCAAAACTCTTTGCTGAATCATTTTAGCATTCCAGCTGGATTTTTCCAACACAAGTTAGGTAGACTCTCCTGCCTTGAATTTTCCAAGTCAAATAACTGATGGCAACAAGATATCTGAAGATGGCTTATTCTAGTGAGAGAAAAGAACTGCTTCACTACATCAGTTACATTGTTTACAATTTCAAATGAGGTAAGGAGAAAGCACAGAATGAACTATTAAAAAAAATTAAAAATGGTATCTTACCGCAATAAAGTCTCCCTTCAGCCAGCTGTCATCTTTTATAGCTTCATAGACTCCAACCTCCTTTCCTTTCACATTTACCTTCGCATGGTTAACATCAGGATATTGAGTGGAGGAGTGGTTGCCCCAGATGATGACATTCTTCACATCATTAGCAGTCACACCAAGTTTCAGAGCAATCTAGTTGGAAATTAAACATGTCCATTGCATTGACTTCAGCTTCTCAACTCACAGGCTTCTTTGAAAGCATTGCTCTGTATTTAGCATAGATAGCACAATATGTCATTTTTTACCTGAGATTTGGCTCTGTTGTGATCCAAACGAGTTAAGCAGCTGAAGTTTTCCTTTGGTATGGATGGGGCTGACTTTGATGCAATCAGGCAGTTGGTATTGGCTGGATTCCCAACAACAACAACCTAAAAATGAAAAAAGGAAAGATGAAGTAGGTATTTCTGCAAAACACCTCCCTTCAGTGAAACACGCTGCTTGGCCTTCAAAGAAGCTATCTAAAAGTTAAGTTTTCTAATCTCTTGGTTGTCTCCAACAAGATTGTCTTTTAAGTGTGCCATTTGTAGTCACCCAATCTTCTATAACTGCACATAAAAATATTTTCCAGATAGGTACTCTCTTTAACTTGACATCCAATGTGAAAGGGAACAAGACTTCTAGGGAGACCTGTACACTGACCTACAGCCTGGCATCAAACCTCATGATGCCAGATATGAGGAGATAGACACAAGCACACTTTAAACCAACCACTTTTAAATGCTTTCTGGGCTGGCTGCCACTGCTTTACATAATTGCTTTATAATTAAGAAACCCAGAACATTTACTTATCTCAATGTGCATGGGCAGTTAGAAGTTAAAACACTGCCTCAACTTAAATCAATTTATTACTATGCAAAACTGATTTTTATTCATCCTTCATTTGTGCCTCAAATGACTTATGTCAGACTCCATACACTCTAAATCACACAAGCTGATCTGCAAACCTCCCTTTGTATTTCCCCTTTTGAAAGTGAGTTCAGTAAATTTTCCACTACTCCACAATAGTTATATTGGTAGTTTTTATTCCAGCTGGATAAAGAAGCAAACACGTCTCTAGAAGCCGTAGGAAGTTCATCAGCAGACATTAAAAAGCCAGTTACAAAGCTCAGCCGGAGTCTGGGCCTGAGATTAAGAGCAGTGGGAGAGCAGCCACATGATCCCATTAACTGTGCTGAAGGAATCTGAGAGAGAACAATTAAAATCTTCTAATGCTCCAAGTAAGATGCAAACAACCTAAATAAAGCCAATTTTTGTGCAACTGTAATTCCATATTGATATTGAAGTTAAGGGTCATTATGTTAAAGGACACAGATGGATATGAAGTAGGCAGCTGCATTTAGTTAATTCAGTTCTCCTAGAGAAGAGTGATAACAAGCAAAAGACTGCTTATTTTTTTTAAACGTGGTTTTATGGGGTTGCTTTTCAAATTGGTGGTAAACAGAGTATGTGTGGAATACAGCAATACAATGTAGGACTCACCTTTTTCACCAAACAAATTAATGACTAAATCATCTGCCTATTTAACATTCTGTTTCTTATCTACCCTTGACTGTGGTCTATTTTCCAGGGCATAAGGAAAGGAATGCCCACACTGAACAGGCTCCTGCTTGTACAATATTTTTCTACAGTGTATCCAGGTCTCTACACAGCAGAGAATTAATGCTTTAAATTCAATTCCTATATTCACCTTGACAGTCTTTTTGGCATACTTGTCCAAGGCTGCACCCTGAGACTTGAAAATTTTTACATTTGCTTTGAGTAAATCCTTCCTCTCCATTCCCTCTCTCCTTGGCATGGAGCCAACCAGAATTGCTACGTCAAGGTCTTTGAATGCAACTTCCTCCTTGTCTGTTGGAATGACCTCTAAAAAAATAAAGGAAAGGGGGGAAAAGAATTCAGCAAGATAAATACTCATGGCATAGTGCTAACAGGAATATTCTTTTGTGCATAAATAGTATATAATCTAATCTGACAATACCACCACCTTCCCCTTCCAAAAATACAAGTAACAGTCATTTGGCCCTACCTCCACAGATTAAATACATCCCAGTAAACAGGTTTTACATACAAATATTTATGTAAAGCGGAAAACACAGGAGAAATCTATGTAAAAAGATACATTTCATTTGCCTCTAAAAATGTGTATATAAGTACATGTGCTTTTCTTTACTTTTACAATAAAATTTCAGTGGCAAAGACCAACACAAGTTAAGTTTTGCTGCCCCTTTCCAATTCAAAGTAGAGAAGGTTTGATTTGTACCAGAGCTGGTACCTACATGTTTCTTTTGTCATGTGTTATCGTAATTACACTAACTCCTACTTGCTCCCTTTCTTCTGCTTATTTAAAATACCAGAACTCAGCTTGTTTACATGGCTTGAGGAGTGCTTTTTCATTTTGTATCTTTATATAGAAGATATTTTTAAGACTAAGTTATTTTTTTAAAATTTAGCAATAAATATTATATACATAATACAGCAATGATATATTTTATATATTTCATGGCTGGGCCAGAACACAATGCACATATGCACAAGTATCTGACAATTTCCTGTCCAGGCTTAAAGCCCAGGATTAGATGATATAAACCCAGGGTATCTCCATTGCCAATTCTGTCCACAAGACCTATTTGATGTCCTTCTTCCTAGCTTACAGGCTAAGTTAAATTGATTATATTCCACAAAACACAAAACCAAGGAAGGATCATCTAAGATTTTCTTCCGCCTAACTTCCTGCCAGCTAAGGGACTCATAAATGCAAGAATTGTACTGCAGCATCTTGTAGGTATAAGAAAAAATTGTTTTGGCCACCTCTGAGCAGCGGCAGAGCACAGTCCTGCAGCTCCATCACCACACCTTCCAGTACTGTCATCATAGGAGTGATGTCCAGCAGCACAAGAATAAGAGGCTGGAAAGAAAGAAAAGATTTAGTCCAAGCTGGGCACAATGTGTCCTGAAAATGAATTTGTCTTGTACTCGGCTGTTACCTCATGCAAGATTTAAAACCCATTTGAAGAAAACAACTTCAGCACAACCAACAACTGACAGCTTGCTTAACAGAGCAGAACTCCCATTTTCCCCACTTAAAGAAGAAATTACTTGCATATTGGTAAACCATTCTGAGTGTCTATGAGGAAACCAGTCCCAGGCACTGCAGTTCTGACATTCATTCATTCCTGTGCCAGCAGGAGCAGGGAGGCCATCCTTCCCCTGTACTCAGCACTGGTGAGGCCACACCTTGAGTGCTGTGTCCAGCTCTGGTCCCTCAGTTTGGGAAGGACGTTGAGACACTTGAGTGTGTCCAGAGGAGGCAACGAGGCTGGTGAGGGGCTTGGAACACAAGCCCTGTGAGGAATGACTGAGGGAGCTGGGGGTGTTCAGCCTGGAGAAAAGGAGACTCAGGGGTGACCTTATCACTCTCTACAGCTCCCTGAAAGGTGGCTGCAGTCAGGTGGGGTTGGTCGCTTTCTCAGGCAGCAACCGACAGAACCAGAGAACACAGTCTCAAGCTGTGTCAGGGGAAATATAGGCTGGATATTAGGAAAAAGTTTTTCAGGGAAAGAGTGATAAAGTTCTGGAATGGCCTGCCCAGGGAGGTGGTGGAGTCACCATCCCTGAATGTGTTTAAAAAAAGACTGGATGAGGCACTGGGTGCCATGGTTTAGTTGAGGTGTCAGGGCATGGGTTGGACTTGAAGGTCTCTTCCAACCTGGTCATTCTGGGAATTCTGTGGATTCTGTGCAGAGTTACCTGGTCTTTGCCGAAGACATCACCCTTGGCAATGCTGTAGAGGAGGGAGTAAGCAATCTGCCCAGCTGCTCCAGTCACCAGCACTCTGACAGGTTCACCCTGCAAGGAAATGACACTGCCTTACCCACAGCTCCACACCTCAGCCTCACACCAGTTAAAATTAAGTTACTGCAGCAATAACGTTACAATTATTTAACCTGGATGAAAGCCTGTGCCTAAAGGTGGATCAGCCCCAGCTCCTGGGATCACACTTCTGGTTCTGCTAGAACCACCAGCAATTGCTCTGCTTGGTGTTACAGAAACACACCACAATTGCAAAAAGATCTTTAAGAATTGCTCCTGGAAAACTTGCAAAATGCCAGGAATAGCAATATATTTGAAAAATTTAGCATTCCCTTTAACAACACGGCCTTGTTAACATAAGACAATACAACATACACCCAACCATTCATACTTGAAATTTACTACAGAAGTTTCACGAGCTGTGACAATTGACTGGTTTTCAGATTCTTTCCATTTCAAGGGCTGTTCCCACTAAGCATTTTGAATGCTTATTTGCAACCAAAGACTTACTGAATGCCAGAAACCAAAGAACCTAGGGGACTTAAAATTACTGCCTCACTAAACCGTTAGGCAGCAAATTTAACTAATCCACAGACAAAAGCCACATTATGAACAAATACAGACACTATCCATAATACAACTGTCTTTTGTCAAACTGACCCAAAACTCCAAAAGACTGGGAGAAGACTGCCAAAATGTTACTATATTGCAAATAAGAGGGGAATAAGGGTTTGCCCTGTAGCAAAATGACAGTTTGCTAAGCAGAACCAGGACTGGGAGAAATCCAGAAGTTATTTAATTTTGAAAATGAAAGGCTGCGAGAGTTTGGGTTGGAGAAGAGCCTGGAGAGCTTCTTCAGCCTGGAGAAGAGAAGGTACCAGGGTGGCTTTTCAATACTCAAAGGGGATTTACAAAAAAGATTAGGACAAACCTTTTAGTAGGACCTGTTATGAAATGACAAGGGGCAATAGTTTTAAACTAAAAGAGGATAGACCAAGATAAGAAATAAATACTTTACAATAAAGGTGGTGAAACACTGGCACAGATTGTCCAGATAAGTGGTGGTTGCCCCCCCCCGGAAACATTCAAGGTCAAATTGCACAGGTCTCTGAAAAACCTGGTCTTGTTGAAGACGTCCCTGCCAAATGCAGGGAGGTGGATCAAAGACCTTTAAAAGTTTGTTCAAACCCAAAGGATTCTATGATTCCATCAAAAAGGGCCGTGTGGCAAAGGACATTAATAACCCAGTATTTCGTAAACCTGTTATTTGTATTTCCCTTTTTCTCTAGAGGCAATAGGGCTGGGGCAGACTGTGCTAGGACAGGAACAAGCAGACTGACCAGTCTGCTGGAATGCCAAGCCCACTTCTTCAGAAAATTAAAAGATGAGCACCTGATACAGACCAGGCATAACTGAATGTAAAAGAAGTGTTTTAATTGCATTCTGGGCTACATTATGAAAAGTGTAAGGTGCAGAGCAAAGAGTGCTGGTGATATTGCAGATGGGACACTGAGTGCAGTTCTGGAAACCTGAGTTCTGTATGGTTCTGTGGTCTGTAAGATGAGGCTGAGGGAAAGCCAGTCAGGACAGAGTCTAGAAAGGTAGAGGAAAAGGGAGATCTAACAGCACACCACCACACCTTCAGAGAGTGTTAGAAATAACACTGCCCCCAACAGCTCTCAGTAGTGGCAGAACAGGGTGCAACAGCTACAAATTAAGAGAAAAACTCTTGATTATGTGGTACTGTTGCAGCAGAACAGGATACCCAGAGGGTCTGTATAACCTTCACCCCCAGCAGTTTTCAAGGCCCAGACTAAAACACCTATGACATGATCTATCAGTGGCAAAAGTCTCACTGTCAGGCTGGACTGGACAACTTCCAGACATGGAGCAAGAAGGAAGGCAGACTATGACCTCTACAGATCCTTTCCAACCAGCATTCCTGTCACTGATATTTATAGGAAAACCATGTGGGGCTTCCAGTGTATTCTCTCTGCAGAATTAACCGGCCAAGCACAGCTGCATCACACTAGTGTTAGATAACTAAAAAAATTAGGCTACCTACCCCATTTTATCACATACTAGATAAAATCAGGGCATAAATTATGAAGGTAAACTACTGAACTTGCAGATTTAGACCTGGCCTTCGTTATGGGAATGATTCTTTAAATATCTCGTTACCCACTTGCCCATTACACAGTGTTGAAGTGCATTATTCTCTTTTGAACTCACCCTACTACGAGTCACACCCCTCTAACTTCACTGAAATTCCACTATGAGGGGAAGGAGAGCAGACAATCAATTCTTGGTGGTTTAAATCTCAAAACTAGTTCTGGTACTCTATTACTGAGCAGGGAAATGTACCATGACATCTGAATAATCATGAGCAGCACGGATTAGGATGTCTATCAAATTTTAAAATCAACTTTTCAGCATGTTTCTAAGAAGAATCTACATTTTATTTATATAAATGGAACAATGAACACTATTTTAAGGTGGCTAACCACACTAGTTAATAAAATAAGTACTGAAAAGTTACAGTGCTGCAAAACCTTGGCCTGGCAAAATCCCCATCATATAAAAAGTGATCCTGTGCTAAACTGTTCCAGAACTCACACAGGTAGCAGCAAAATATGTTTTCTTTATATTTATAGGGTATCTGAAATCAATTGTGAATTGATTTCTGAATTTCCAGTGAATAGAAGAAAGATTTTAAGGCTCTTTCTTCTAAAGCAGTGTCACAAAATGGGGAAAGGAAAAGAGATTTTTTTTTTCCATTCTATGAACTTTATAAGCCAGTCTGATTGAAACATAAAAAAAGGCAACCTATCCACTAGCATTATGGTGAGTATTCGGCCTAACAACAGGAGAGGGAAGGAGGAGAAGATAGAAAGGTAAGAAATAGGATTATTTATTATTTTTTTACTGAGACAAACTTAGCATTTTTTCTAAAAAAACCCAAACCTTCAGTCATGACTCAGCTCCACCTTCTCAAAATAATTATGTTTGCTTACTACCATCCTTCCTGTTGTCCCCCATTTGGGGCTGGAGGAAGAAAACACACAAGCTAAAATAAGGTGAGGAGTGCTTCCTACTTGTTTTTCCTTTCCAAACCTTCAGTACCTTGGATTCAGTGCATTCCCCAGACCCTTTTACTTCTGCACCAATTGTGAGAATTTAGCATCAAAGAAACTTCCATGCTCTCTCCTAAATCCAGAAGCTGGATTAACAAACCAAAAACTCTGGGTTTTGTTGTGCTGCTTACAAAATGTGGATAACTCTCACCAAAAAACCCTTACATCTCATATCAAAATTGGTCCCACTGAGTGTCTGAGGCTACTTTTAGAGAAATGAGAAGCTCCCCAACAGAAGTTGTAGGCTCCAGACATTCATGTCCAGACGCTTTAACCCGTGACTTGGCTCCTGCAGGCCTTCCATGCTGTGGTAACTGCAGGGGTGACCTTTACTCACTCTCAGGTATAAAGGAACCAGAGGACAAATTAAACAACAACTAGCTGAACTATTTCGCTCCAAAGCCTTCCCCACTCCACATTCAACCAATGTATAGTTAAAAAGCTTTAGGAAAATAAAAGAGTAGCAAAAGTAATGGTAAAAAGGATGAGGAAAAAGCCCTCAGCAACTGATCATTGCATCCCCAAGTACCCTTCTTCATCTAATCCAGCAAATGTAGGATCTTTTCCTCCTAAACTATCACAGATGAAAGCAAAGCCTCCAATATCAAGTGAGGAAGTTGAGGTCTTAGCACCCACCCCACACACTTTGGTTTAAGAACTCAGTGCTTCAGTTATTCCTGTGATTACAGCTGATATCAGCACAACTCAAACATCAGTGCCATACCTGCAAACAGCACTGCACTGCAAAACTGATTCAGGAGGTTATAAAGGTAAGCAAAAGATAACTCAAAACCTATCAAATGTTGTGACAGGAATATCCTGGCTACATGAGTGATAGACTTTGCATTGCTAATTGCAGTTATGAAAGATCTCCATAAAGATTATTGCTGATAAGCTTGTCTATAAAATACCACCAGCTTAACATTAATCCTGAATATCGAACATTACTCCAGCCAACTAAGCTATCCCACCTTGCTTTACAATAATTACTCAATCATTAAAATAAATTTTTATCTCTTCCAAAGTCTAGAGTCTGCCTAAGGAACTTTCCCTTTGCTCTGCCTTCTTTAAAGCAGAGATGTGGGGACAATAAACATGTTTGGAAATGCAGCAGAGAGTCTCAGCAAGGCAGCTGAGTGCACTCGAAGAACACCACCAGCGCTGTGGTTCAGAGACCAAAGCAATTCCAAAGGCATTCCTCCCTTAAGGAACGACCTTGACACAGGTGCCCTGTAAAGCTTTTTCCATTTCATTGAGCTAATGGTGGCTGCACTGACAGATGATTTTATTTCAAGAAATTTAAAGCCTCTGCCCAACACCACATGCATAATCTGAACAGCAAAGGCAAGCTAAAAGCAGTGACATTCTGAAAGGTCTGGACATCAAAGTTCTTTGTGAGATCAGACCATCCATGTCAGCTCATCCATGTCTCAATGCTTTGAGAGTTCAAATACAAACTAGAGCTTGCTGTCATGTTGCCACTCCTGCAAATCCTCATTTTAGATAGAAGGAGTGGAAAAGAAATATAAAGTTTACAGATTTCTGTATTTTTTAGGGTACAGCTGAAACAAGCCACATTTCAGAGCATGCAAGCATCCTTTCCATAGCAAAATACTGAAAATGAAGGTTTGAGTAACAGGGCATTGAGTCTAGAAAAACACAGAGATGCTTTCATGCCTAGAAAGGAAAGCAAGGTCTCTGTGCAGGTTTATATACCTATGTACACATGCTGCAGAAAAGCAAAGCACTGCAGTTCACCTCTGTAACCTCAGAGCAGAACCAGAAGGACTTCTTGACAATCTAGCGAGTCTGAACAAACAGCTGGATTTCCGACAGCAAGCAGGTTGAACCAATATAGACATTTCACAAGCACTTTCCCTTGAGCTAACACAGAGCCGCACCAAAGCCTTTCACGCCTCGCGAACAAGGCGCTGACAGCCCCCATGTCGCGCAGGCAATGCCGGCAGCCGCGGCGCCGGGACAAGGCGCGATCAGCCCCGGAGTGCCAGCCCGGACCAGGGGGGCTCGCTGCCCGGGCACATCCCGCCCTCCCCGCACGGCCCTGGGGACAGGCAGAGGCAGAGTCGCCGACAGGCCGGCACCGACCCCACGTCCCCGCCTGGAAGGTCACCCCGGCGCGGCTCGGCGGGGGCTGCAGCGAGCCCTGCGGCGCCACCATGTCCGGCTGCTCTGGGTGCCGCGACCACCTCCAGGTCACCCCTGCCCCTCATCCCCGGGCCCTCCCGGGAGCAGCGCGGCCAGGCGGGGAGGGCGACGCCATTTCGGGGTCACCTCCCTCTGCCAGAATTCCCTGCCCCGAGCCGAAGGAACCCGAGGGGCGCGGTACCGCCGCGGGCCCGGTACCGACCATGTCTGCGGGAGCGGCGGACGCGCTCGCTGCTCGAGGTCACCTCTGCGGCGCGACTGCGGCCGTGGCAGCGCTGCGCCGAGGTGCCGTGGTGGGGCGGGGCGTGCGACCGCGCGCAGCCGCCTGGGGGCTGTAGTCGTGGTGGCCGCCAGCCAGCGCCGCTCGACTGCCGGACAGAACTACAACTCCCCTCGTACCTCGGGGGTGGCCCACCGCGCCCCCGCACGCTATTGGCGGTTGCCTCTCCTCTACTCGCCCCATTCATTGAAGCGCCGCGCGGCGCTGCAGGGCTGGGGCCGTTAGGGGGCGACGCGCGGCGGCCTTCACGGCGCGTGCGCGCGATTGGGAGGGGTGGGGGCTGCGGCAAGCGCGGGCATCTTTGGCCGCGCATGCGCGTTCGGCGGCGAGGGTGCGGGGGCGGGGGGGCGGCTGTGGCGGCGCATGCGCAGGGGGCGGCGCGCGCGGTTGCTGCGGTGACGCGCGGGACAGGCCCCGGTGCCGGCGGCGCTGCTGCTCCCACGGCCGCCCCGCGAACTCGGAGCGCTCGGTGGGTGCGAGTGCGCGGCCCGGCCCGGCCCGGCCCGGCCCTGCCCGGCGGGGCACTCCCGGGGCATCCCGGAGCCGCGAGCCCGGGGCAGGCTGAGCGTTCCCCTCGCGTTTCCCGCGCGTTTCCTTCCCGCCCGGCCTCCTCTGGGGAGCTGCCGGCGCGTTCCCGGCGCTCCGCACTTCATGAAATTTTGCCATCCTGTTACTGGGTCCTTTCCTTTTTATTTTCAGGGAAAGCTGAGTGCTTACCTGTGCTATTCCGCTGGTAGAACTGCGTGGCTAAACTAGCTATCACTTGTACAAAAATAAAGCTGCTCGTTGACTTGTGTTTCGAAATGTTAAGTGAAGTAAATTCCTTTGGTCTGGCTGTAAGGGAGGCTGCTACCGGCAGAAATACATCAGCAGAACAGAGCTTCGAAAACTGTTGTTAGGGTGTAAAAGAAGGTCTTGGGTAGCACAGCTGGTTTTTCCCTCAGATCATGACAGGATTCCCTGTTAGTTTAGTGTTCTGTGAAGGTCTTGCTTGTCCCGGTGTGTTTCTGCAGGATTAGTTTGAAGCCTTACTCTAGTCCTTTTGGTAAGCGTGGATACTGAGGCAAGTTCTTCCGTCCTGCGACAGAAAGGGGAAGCTGCTCCTTTGGGGCAGGGGGTGTAAAATGGAAGTTGTGATGCAAAGTGCTCCCGTTCCAGCGGGTCCCGCTGCCAGTCTTGCTGGTGTCAGAGCTGAGAAGGTGCCGTGGCTGAAGGAGCCTTGTGGCCCTGGCAGCTCCTGCGGCAGTGCCGGGGGTGCGGTCCCGCCGGCTTTGCTGAGGTTCTCCAGCTGCACGCATTCATATCAGTCAATAACCGTACGTTTTTATTATGAATTAAACCTGTGCCGTACCCAAGCTCCCTTCTGTGGATAAGTTTGAAAGCCGGGTAGCTGCAAGCAGAGCTGAGGGCTGGCTTGCTGGGAAGCGTAGGGAAGCTGGGTCAGGAGGAGGGAGCTTGTTTAACACAGTCAGAGTTTCCCAGAGTGACTTAAGATGCTTTACCCTGGTGACTCTCAACCTTTTCTGCACCCAGACGTTGTACAGACTTAATTAACACTATTTAAGATTGTTTAGGATTTAAATATACACAAAACCTGATGTGGACCCACATAAGGTAATTTCCCCTGACCATAATTGGTTCAGTTTAATTGATTTCTTATCAATTTCCAGCTAAATCAATGTTAGCAGGCCGTAAACTGATTTGTCTGTGTCAGCATGGCAGATTGTATTGATTTAATGGATTTCAGTTAAGAGCTTAACTTGAAACTTTCAAACTTTTTTCTGTAGGTAAGACTCTTCTTATTATTGCTCCTTTTTGGCCCAAGCTTGTGCTCCCGGAATTATTTGCTGTTGGAGATAACAACAAATCATTACTTTGTGTTGAAAGTGATTTGTTTTGATGCAAAGCCACGTGTAAATGCTTTTGTTTGTCAGAAGCACTTTTATCAGTTTATCTTCAATCTCAGTATGATTAGTCCAAGTTGGACTCAGTTATTGTCTGTGCTGATTTAACTAAAAATACTGTAAAATGCTGCCTTTTATGAATGTGGTATAATTTTTAAAGTCAGCAAAACTTAAGAGTTCTAGTATTTTCTTCTTAAATTTTGTGTCTACTTGTTAAGCTTTGATGTTTTCCAAGCAAAATTTAAATGTAATTTAAAAAAATATTCTTTAATGCTCCCCAATGTTTCATTAGTATGAGTCTTTCGTGTAGCACTGTAAGCCAAAAAGCTGCATAAATAGAAACATTACATGCAAATGAAGTAATGGAAATTTAGTGTGCATGTGAGTTGGACTCTGGGCTAACTCTCAAATACACTTTGCAATTTTTGCACTCAAAAGATACTGAATTACGTGGAAATCAGTAATTAAACAGCACACTGAAGTATTAAGATGTTCTAATCTCCATTTTCAGGGGATTAAGTATTATTTTTCAAGGCAACTAGTAATTTTGAAGGGTAGGCTGCCAGAATTATCTCTTAATTTTTTAAAAAATATTTTAAAATGAATTATTCTCTGTTAACAGCTGGCTGTCTTCTTTAACTGTATTTTGGATGGGATTTTCTTTTACTTCATTGCCATCTATAGGAACGGATGAATATTTTTAGGTAAGTTTTTACACTTAATTTTCAATAATTTGTTAAGTTCTCTTTTTATCATCCTCTCTGTGTCTAGTACAGGTTTTTTATCTTATGCATTTATTTACAATTGTTGTTACCACGTCATGTCTCTTGTAGCTAAGTCTGTGTGATATAATTAATATTTAAAATGCAGAAGACTTTGTAAGAAAAATTATATAGTGGCCAGGTTCAAACTTAGAAATGCCAGAATTGAAACAGTTTTGTAAACCTCTTCTGTGTTCTGGTCCAAGGGAATAATAGTAAGAGATTTTTCAGAACTGAGGTAAAGCATTACAAAAAAATACTGAAATAGAATTAAGAGGATCAAAAGTTATTTTTAAAAGTGTATGAGAAATCTATAATAGATTTTTTAAAAGATATAGGTCTTTTAAAAGAGCTATTAAAATCGTAGTTTAGGAAATTAGTACAGGATTGGGGTTTTTTTTAATTCTTAATGCTAATGTCCCAAACATAATTTTTCACCATTCATTTCTGAACTTCAGTCATGTAGTACTGCATGGACATTGAATGTCAGGAAGAAGCTAATCTATAAATTCCATTTATAATCCAGATTTTATTTTTGCTGTGGTGAAAACTTTCTTCTAAAAGAGAAATTTTATCTTCTATGGAAGTGGTTTAATTTTTATTGCTTATTTTTAATTTCTTAACAGCTTGGTTCTTTAATTAAAGTCGGGTAGTTATCGTTAATTGATTTTTACAACCTTCAGCATGTTTTTAACAGGTAGCTAGGATGCAATAATACATCCTTTACTCATGTGCCTGCTGCCTGTAAAGGGACACAAATGGTCTGTATCTTGCATGTAATATGTATTAGTAATCTTTATGAACTATTCATGCGTCAAATATTAATAAAAATTGTGAGCAGAAAGTTATTTTTATTTGTTTTCCCTAAGTAGGTTGATAGTACGAGCAGGTGTTGTAGGTTTGGCAGGGGACACTGAGGGTTCAGGTCTCCTCTGGTGTGGGTGTGTGTCAGATCTGAGGTGGGTGCTGTGGTGCCCAAAGCATTCAGGGCTCCATCACTGGCCAGAGGGGGCGGTGGCACAGTGGCTTCACAGTGGCACCCCCAGAGCTGAGGGACCCTGGGAGATCTGTCCTCATCCACCACCCGAGCACCACTTTGGGAGGGTTTTCTTCTCACAGTTGTTACAAGGTCCAGGTTACAGAGAATCCCTGTTTAAAACCAAAGCCAAACAAAACCAGCCCACAAACCAAACAACCACATTGGACACGGCACAAAGACTTTGAGATATTGGCTGTAAATTCAGCAAAGTTGATCTCTGAATTATTACAAAGTGAGCAGAAGGGTTGTGTTCCTGGTGCAGGAGAAGTAGTGTTACTGGATTCTTCTACCTTAACACAAATCTGTCTTTCTCTTGGTGTGACAGAACTGTGTGGGTTTTGTACTCACTAATGTCACTGTCTGGAGGAGAAGAGGCAGGTTGGTATTCTAGAGAGGAGATGACCTGTGTAACAGTTCAAGTTCTACCAAAGCAAACCTTGTACTCTTAAAGTTAATTCATTGCAATATTAAAAAAAACCCAACGTGAGCACCAGCACCCGTTCCCCCCACTAGATGTAAACTGATGAAAGATTGAGCTGATGTCCTTGAGAGTTTTTTAAATGGGGTAAGCATTTAGTCAAGTGAATCAATTTAGTCAAGGGAAACATATCCTACTGAAAATAAATGTTTGCTTTTTCTCTCGTAAGACTTTCTTTTGCATATGTTCATTATAACCTGATAATGAAGTTATACATTTTGAACAAGAAGCTAGCAATCATAATGCTTACTTTCCCTTTTTTAGGTGCAGTGCAGATGGGTGAATCCATCTGCTTCCTTTATCCATCCTTTCCATGTCAGAATGGCTGATGAATGCTCTTCCATGCCAAACCTCTTGCACAGTTACAGGAGTTTTTCTCCTTAGGCTTAGTTCTATGAATTATGGTCTCATAGTTTGCTTAAAATATTTCAGCTTGTTTTACAACATCCATGTGGCTTTATTTCTGTATTTTTGCAGAACTAAATTCTTAATAGCTGCCACTGTACAAACTAAATTTTTCTCCTTTTTTTTCCCCCAAGAATTAAATAGTGTTTCACAGAAAATATCCTGGGAAATACTGGTGGAAGAAGAATGATGTCTTAGAGTGTTGATTTTTTGAATTTTTTGTTAATTGTATAAAATGTAGTTCTTTATGGATGGAAAAGACTGATATTTTTTTATCTTAATGGCATAAGATTTTCTCTTATGAATAAGTAAAACATAACTTTCAAACATGAATGTATCAGTAATAAGTGTAAGAGGCAACTAAGCACTTTGTTTCCTGTATGGAGGTTTTTCTCCTGTTTAAGAGATTCATTTTGGTATCTGGCCTGCTTTTGGA